TCTTAAGATCCAGAGGCAACGTCTCAAAATGGTGTGTGATGGCAAAGGTGAGGATCTAAGCAACATCTGGCTGAAACAGGAGATCTGGTTAAAGCTTTGGATTTATAATGTTATTTTAATATTTCATCTAGTAATCCTAAATATAAAATTTATAAATTATAGGTAACAGCCTTGATTTCCATGTTTGTCTAGAAAAAGCAAAAGGAGGAGGAGAAGAACCAATGTGGTCCTCAAGTGCATCTTCCAGTACAGATCACAATGCTGGAAGGCTCATTTGTGAGGACAAACAACAATGGAAAATCCACCATGGATGAATTTTACTGATAGCAGAAAAATATAGTAATAAAACCTGTGCCAGTAATATTGTTGTCTTCATCAAAATGTTATTTTTATAGGCAAACAGCACATAACTGCCTAATATGTATGCGTATGTTCCCATTATCCTACAGCAACTGGTATTTGTTGGTGGTCACCCATCCAGGTATTTTCCAGGACTGTATTTGATCAGTTTTCAAAATCAAACTGGATCTAGTACATTTTATTACAGTAATATATTTATTATATTGAGCAAGAGTTTACCTGTAACAAGTGGCTATGCAAATATTGCAGGTTGTGATGAGCTATGAAACTGCTGACGCAGGCAGAAACAACGAGAAGTTATGACTGAGAGCCAACGAGGGAAAAGCCTGTTATCATCAACTAGATGGGAAAAGCAGATGGAAGCCTTGGAACTTCCATGGCATATTTTAATAACGAATTGATGTGTTTCATCAGTGACTGCCATTTTATGGACTGATGTGTAATATTACCATTTGAGTTTTTAGTACAGTGGAAGATTAAAGAGATTATAGAATATCAGGGGCAGTGCAATATAATTTGCAGTCATTAGCAAAACAGCAAATAGTGGTAGCTGGTAAATTTCATGTCAGCAAAATGGGGATCTTCTCATGGATTTAGTCTGGTATTATCCAAGGCACTAATCAAAGGAAGGGGAGGTAAATTTTGGAAAAGATTCATTAGGCTTGTGCAATCTGGGTAAACCTTGACCCATTTTTTTGGGAGCCTCCCGAAATCAGGAGGGACAATATCTGTTTTTGTTCTGAGATGTTGAATGATCCATTTTCTATTGTCCCATTATGGGGGGAAGAGGTAGGCACTTAAGCTGTTTCTACTCTAGAGGAGAGGCGCTCAGCTGTAGGCAGGCATGCGCTTTAAGGAGGCTTCTTACCTGCTTCTACTCAATTCCAGGCAGGTGCACACACTTTCTCTCCTGGGCCTGCATGCCATACACTCTTTCCAAGGCAAGGAGGCAAGTTCTCTGTTTCTTACTCTAGAGGAGAGACACTTGGCTGCAGGGAGGCACATGCACTTTTTCTCCTTGGCTGCACCCTGCCAGCAGCCATGCACTCTTTCCAAGGCATTTTAAGGAGGCTTCCAACTTTCAGGTAAGGAAGAACGATGACCTCCTGGAAGAGGAGTGTAGTTTTCAGGGAATGAGAGTTTTCTTTTTTGTTTGCTGGGGAATTAATTAAAAAAAAGATCAAACTGTGATGCCAAAAAGCAGAGGAGGAGCCAGTATTGGCTCCACTTGCTTTGTTTTTGTACCAGAATGGCCCTTACCATTATGGGCTCTTGAAGCATTGAAGGTGCCAAAGGAAGGGGAGGAAACAGAAGAAATAAATTACTACTACTCTTTTCTTTCTCTCCCTCTCTCTCACACACATATCATAAATTGTGTGGCATCAAAGTTAGCCCAGTTACATATACCTTGCATATATATAGCTTTTAAGATACATAAATTAAATATGCACATATTTTAACAGCCAGAGAGCATCTGCCTTGCAGACATTGATAATGAGTTCCACATTGGGTACACAATTGGCAAATCCTATCACTGTTGAAAATATTTAAGGCTTAATCATTGTTTTAGTAATATATTAATGCCCTATGTTACTATTACTCAAGTTTGCTGAAGATAACAAATGTCAATCGCCCTACAGTCAAGTAACCCACCTGTAATTTGTTACATTAAGTAAGAAAATATTGGGTCCATTAGCTAAATCAGTATTTCTCAAATAGAAAATGGGAGCAGTTTTGATGAAGAACTCATAATAGACCCCTCAAATGTTGGTATCACCTAAAATAAGGCTCCCCTGGTTAATTCACACACTATTCACAGCAATGCATTGGAAGTCTCTCTAGGTCAGTGTTTCTCAACCTTCCTAATTCCATGACCCCTTAATACAGTTCCTCGTGTTGTAGTAACCCCCAACCATAACATTATTTTCATTGCTACTTCATAATAGTAATGTTGCTACTGTTATGAATCATAATGTAAATATCTGATATGCAGGATGTATTTTCATTCATGGAACCAAATTTGGCACAAATACCCGATATGCCCAAATTTGAATACTGGTGAGGTTGGGCAAGGGGGAGATCAATTTTGTCTTTTGGGAGTTGTAGTTGCTGGGACTTACATTTAACCTTCAACCAAAGAACATTCTGAACTCCACCAATGATGGAATCGAACCAGTCTTGGCACACAGAACTTCCATGACCAACAGAAAATACTGGAAGGGTTTGGTGGGCATTGACCTTGAGTTTTAGAGTTGTAGTCCATCCACAGAGCACTGTGGATTCAAACTATGATGGATCTGGACCAAACTTGGCATGAATCCTCAATATGCCCAAATGTGAACACTGGTGAAGTTTGGGGAAAACAGACCTTGACATTTGGGAGTTGTAGTTGCTGGGATTTATAATTCACCTACAATCAAAGAGTATTCTGAACCCCACCGATAGAATTGGACCAAACTTCCCACACAGAACCCCCATGACCAACAGAAAATGCTGTCTTTTCTTATGGTCTTTGGTGACCCCTCTGACACCTCTTTGTAAACCCCCTCCCCAGGGGTCGTGACCCCCAGGTTGAAAAATGTTGCTCTATGTGTAGAGTGACTTCATGATGTAAGCAAGGAAACCCTTTGGCCTGAGGAAATACCTCACACTGAAGTGATAGGGTGAGACATTCTCACCCCATGTGGGGTGATTAAACCCAATGATTAAACCACTTGTGGATAGCTCTTTGTTCAGAGCCTTCCTTTGAAGCTGACACAGTGTGACTTGCTCATGACCACCTACTGGACCTTCATGACCAAGCAGGGATTCGAAACTGGTGTCCCATTATATTAGTTCAACATTCAAACCATAACATACGATGGCTCTATTATTAGCTAATAATTAGCTAATATTAAATAAATTAATAAACAAAAATAGCCGGAGCATTTTTTTTCTCATGTTTGCAATCACTTGTATTCTTTACATTACATTCTTTACATGGAAAGACATATGTATGGTACTACCAGGCTAGCTGATTTTCTTATATGAGGTAGAGTGCATTCCTTCTGTTTATTTCACAGATCTACGGTGATGGGTGCATGAAGCTATTTATGTTAGTTGGCATTCCCCTGTATGCAGGTTTCCAGATGTATTTATGACACTACCAGTGTCATATAAGAAATACACTATTTATGACACACTCATCTCTACTTTGCATTTAATAACTCACCTCCTAGTTAAACTCTAATGTGAGCAGGAATTAGGGTTGCCAGGTTTCCAAACAGCAATAAGGGGCACTTGAAATTTATGATGCAGAGGGCCAACAATTGGGACACAGTCATTAACATGTTTGTGTTTTACCAAAATTCCAAATTAAAGTGTTAATTTCAATTAACTTGGCCATGTATTTTTCTAAACAATTAATATATTGTCCACACACATTCATACATTACATGATGCGTACCTCTTTATCTGGGCTCTTGACCAAATTATAGGATTGTTGGGCATCTTGTTTAGTATCTACCTGTAAATGGAAAAGCTTTCCAACCATCAAAGAGTGGACTTCCCTGACAGTAAGGGACTCCTGCCAGTCTTGTAAGGGACAAAGTTTCCAATAGAGACGGCTGATGTTGTTGTATGCTTAGGTTTATGGCAGCCCTAAGGCAACTCTACCATGGAGTTTTCTGAGGCGGAGTGCGACTTGCATAAGATCATCCAGTAGGTTTCCATAGGAAAGAGGGATTCATACTCTAGTTTCCAGAGCCATGAATCAATGTTCAAACCACTACACCTTATTGGAAACACAGTGGGAATCCCTTTCAGCAAATGGCAAAGATGGTTCAGGTTAATACCTTTCTAATCATCTTGGCTTTTGGCACTACACTGGCTGCTAGGAAATCAGTTTTTAAGGCTCAATACTTTTAATATTTTCTTACATTGCTTTTAATAGGGTTGTCTTTGAATATTATACAATCTGTTTCAAATTGTATCTATGAGCTTCCTGGGGTTACTGTCTTGGGAGACAGATAGGATATAAAATAACAAGAGCTCCATGCAGATGTGTAAGTGGATCATCAGAGAAAGATTTGATTCCTCCATTTCTTGTTTTACAAACATCTCTTGGTTTGAGTGTAATTCACAGAAGGTCTGTCACAACCAACAACTTGAGGCAAGGTTTTCTTTGTTTGACAAGCCTTCGCTGTGTTTTCTGGCAGCAGAAACTGTTTCCAAGGCGAACCCAAGGCATTTTACAAATGCTGCCCACCCAAAATGTTGGTAGATAGAACTGTAGGCTGGCTGTCTTGTTTTTAGCTCTTGTGGCAAAAAGATCTCATAAATAACTTTTGGACTTTCTTGGAGAATAAAAATACTATCAAAAATTGAAATAACTATTTTCTGTCCTTTCACGACCTTATTCTGCCTAATATCAGGGCCAGTTTTAGAGATCTTTTCCAGCTTCCATAGCCATGATGGAGATACATTTGATTTATCTTCCTTTCAAGCTTCTAGTAAACACATCCAAAGCTGGCACAGAGTGCCAACCCTTTTGCAATATCCGTGTGATACTAAACTGTTGCCTGGAGTGAGGAATTGAGATTCAGTTGATGTATTTCCTTTCTGGATTCAAGGGTGGGACTTGGAAATCAGTGGGTTTGCTTAAAAAGCACCAAGGTCTGTTTGTGCAGTTGGAGCTGGAACACCGATTAGCAACCTGGCCAACATCCATTGAACAGTGAAGATTATTTAGATTATTGGCTTCCTGAAGCCAGAAAGAAAAGAAGAACAGAATCTGCAAAACCAAGGAAGAAACACTATGAGTACTGCCGGCAAAGTAAGTACCTAGTTGCATGCTCCTTTTTGGGAAAGTTACTTTTCTAGACCACAATTCCCAGAACGTTACAGCCAGCATGTTCAAGCCCTGATTGCTCATTTCCATTTCTACTAGAAAATTAAGATTCAGTTATATGGTGATGAGCCCCTGGTGGCGCAATGGGTTAAACCCTTGTGCTGGTAGTACTGAAGACCAACAGGTCGTAGGTTTGAATCCAGGGAGAGCACGGATGAGTTCCCTCTGTCAGCTTCAGCTCCCCATGCAGGGACATGAGAGAAGCCTCTCACAAGGATGGTAAAACATCAAACATCTGGTCGTCCCCTGGACAACGTCCTTGAAGACAGTCAATTTTCTCACAGCAGAAGTGATTTGCAGTTTCTCAAGTATCTCCTGACATGAAAAAAAGGAATATTAGAAATAAGTTTCTTAAAAGTCAACTTGATGCATTTATTTGGTAATTGTCAGTAAAATTAATACACTGGAAATAGGAAATTCTAACATAGCCAAATCTCAGCACAGAAAAAAGAAAATACAGTTAGCAGATGAACAATCTTCATAGAGTATGCTCTATAAGTGAGAAGAAATGTACTGATGTGAGACGTGGCAAACAAGCACATAGTACAATGAAACTTTCTTTGCAATGGTGAAGTGTTTTTTTAAAGGTCCAAATCAGATAAAAACCAGCCTACCATATACTTCAGCTGAAGAGTTAAACATATGCTTCGCTCATTCAGCCCATTCCATCTGGAAGCAATCAGATTTGGCAATACTTGTCTTTTCCAGATAACATTAAAGCAATAAATTAATTATGGCTGCCAAATATCTCTCACTTTTCATTGTGATTTAAAATCAGAACATGAGCTAATTTGTTAAGATTTTATCTTTCTGGTTTACTTCTAAATATTAAATACACCTAGAAAAGGAGCCATGGTGGAACCATTGCACCAGCTGAACTGTTGACCTGAAGATTGGCATTTCGAACCTGCGAGATGGGGCGAGCTCCCATCTGTCAGCTCCAGCTTCTCAGGCAGGGACATGAGAGAAGCCTACCAACAGGATGGTAACACATCCGGGCATCCCCTGGGCAACATCCTTACAGATCAGAAGCAACCTGCAGTTTCTCAAACCTTCTCTCTCTCTCTCTCTCTCTCTCTCACACACACACACATACACACAAAGAAAACCTAGAAAAGTGTCACTTTTAAAACAATTGCATCATTTTTCAAAAAAAGAAATCCATTTTTATTTCTCATAAAAATGTTGTAATTTTTAAATGTTTGCCCTGCTTATACTTTGCAACCATGAAACTTTACAAATCAGTTTTAGAAATATATTAGGAAGTGATGCTAGGCTCAATAGTTATGGAAAGAGAACTCAGCATCAGGGTTTTATTCCCAAGTAGAGGCATGAAATCCATGTGTACAAATTCAAAGCAGAGATTAGAAAAATAAAGGTTTTGAACCACAACTCCTTGGCTCTCCATATCCGCATAAACATTGCTGGCTGAGGGATGCTGGAAGTCGTAACACTTCTGAGCTTTGGTTTGCCTTCACCAGTGAAGCCATGGAGAGCTGTGTGGCTATGACTCAGTGAGTGACAATATAAATGCCTATGCAAAGTCTTGCAAAACTTTGCAAAATGCTATATTCATTAAGATTTGGAAATCCTTTACTGTCAGTTTTCTATACTGACCTATTTAAGCTGAAATGCCTTCTAGGGAAGGGAGGCCTGGAGTGGTCACATGGAGATTGAACTTTCTCCACCTCTAAATTCTCCAAATAGTTGGAACTTGAATGGGACTATAGAGCATTGCAAAACCAGCCAAGGTCTCTTCCAAACTGATAGGGCTATCATTTTTTGCCAACACCCTTCATTGTTTGAGTCAAGAGATTAACCCTGCATTCTTCTACCAAACAAGACAAATTCACCCAGAATCAAAATTAGAATCCCAAATAAATACTAACCACTCACAATAATCATGGTGGAGTTTGGAGAAAATAGACCTAGACATTTGGGAGGTGTCGTTGCTGGGATTTATAGTTCATCTACCATCAAAGAACATTCTAAACCCCACCAATGATAGAATTGGGCTAGTCTTCCCACACAGAACCCCCATGCCTTGAAGGGACTTCCTGGCACAAGCCTCCCTCTGACCTCACACACTCTCTCTCGCCCTCACATGTGCACCACGCTGCCATGCGCTGAACTCACCTGCTCTCCCTTCCCTACCTCAGAAACAGCCCTCCTCTTGGCTGAGAGGTGGATTGAGGGACCAGTCAATCACAGCGGAGGAGGGCTTTTGGTGTGAGGTTTAGCCATCTGTTTCCAAAAAGGAAGAGAAGGACAGGTGGAGAGATCTTCAGCCTTCTCTACCAAAGGGGTTCATAAGACCCCTCGTGACACCCCTTGTGACCCCCCCCCCCAGGTTTAGAAATGCTGATGTTATGACAAAAAGCCTAATCATAGATTTTCTGGAGTATTGAAAATTCTCAAATAGAGTGTTAGAGCTCTTCTCTAAACTTCAAATCCCACAATTGCATAGGAGGTAGCCATGGCAGTTAAAGTGGACTTATAGTGACATAAATTGCATAGTGTGAACTAGCACCTATATCATCTCAGGGCTTTCTTGCGACCATTTTATGGTCATTTTGAAAAGGGGTCCTAGGACAGACTCTATATTCATTTACTTCTTTCAGCAAATTCATAATCTGTACTTACAATTCTCTAATTCTGTAATCTGTAAAATAGTAATTTGTATTGTCATTCAGAATGTCATCAGATTATCAGAATTTGATCCTCCTCATTGGGTATTCAGAAAGCAAATGTGAGACCATTCTTTAAAGACAGCATGAACCCCATATCCACAGGACTAATATCCGCAATGTCATTTATCCATGGCTGACAAAATATGTCTGCTGTAGGCATTCTCTAGATCAGGGGTCCTCAAACTTTTTAAACCAGGGGCCAGTTCACTGTCCCTCAGACCGTTGGAGGGCTGGACTATAGGTTTTTTTTTTAAAAAATCAATTAAAAAAATCCTATGCACATTGCACATATCTTATTTTGCTGTGTGGAAGGGCCCTTAGAGGGGGTTCTTTCTAGCCCTCTTTAGGCAGTAATTCCAGGAGCAGAGAATGGGAAATCTTCCTATTTTTAGTCTGAACAAAATCTGGCTACCAGTATTAAAAAAAACTCTAAAATTATAACTGTAAATAAAGAACAACACTCAAACACAGGGGAACTCCAGACAAGAAACAATCAGGGCCAGCTAATCACCTCTCAACAAAGGATTCTCCCTAAAAACTGTCAGGCTATGAAATGGTAATCAAGGTGGCCAATTGAAACATTCATACCTACCTCCAACAGACAAGAGTTCTTTCTCCCACCCTGGATCTTCCACAATTTTCCTAGTTAAAGGTTTTCCTCTGACATGAAGTCCAGTCGTGTCTGACTCTGGGGTGTGGTGCTCATCTGCATTTCTAAGTCAAAGAGCTGGCGTTGTCCGTAGACACCTCCAAGGTCATGTGGCTGGCATGACTGCATGGAGCGCCGGGGTAGCCTCCCTTGGCTGGCTCACGCTGCCCATCGGGCCTGACGGATAGCATGAGCCTGCCAAGGGAGGAGCAGCACCGCACGGCCTACTTTCGCATAAAGCACCTCATGAGGTGCTTTACGCGTGAGTAGGCCACGCGGAGCAGCCTCCCTTGGCTGGCTCATGCTGCCCATCGGACCTGACAGGATGAGCCTGCCAAGAGAGGAGCAGCACTGCGCGGCCTACTTTCGCATAAAGCACCTCGCGAGTAGGCCACGTGGAGCCGCTGCCCATCAGGCCTGATGGATAGCGTGAGTCAGCCAAGGGAGGGGCACTGTGTGGGGGGGAGCACTCCTCCTCCGCGGGCCGGATAAGTGCCCTTGGCGGGCTGGAAGTGGCCCACGGGCCGTAGTTTGAGGACCCCTGCTCTAGATCCTCCAGAATGACCCTCTTGTATTCTTCTGGCAAGAAGTCCTTCCTTTGAATAGGTTTCTCTAAAGCACAGTTTCACGTATCCACAAGAAGTCTCAGAACATATCCCCTGCAGACATGAAAGCTGTATTCTATAGCTTTTCTTTCTGCACTTGGAAGCACTTGGAAGCAACTAAGCAACACTGCAAATAAATGATCCCAGGATCCTTGAAGGATATCGTCATACAACAGTTTATAGCATGTCTATGTAAACACACAAGTAACTGAGCAGAGGCAGGCCTAACATTGTTTAATTGCACATTTCAACTTCTGCACTCCTAGTAACACAACTGAGATTATTTTCTTTACTGAGAAAGACAGAAGTCAAAGTGTTTAGTTAAACAGTCATATAACTCTCATTGCACGTTCTCTATGTTTTATGACCATGAACAGCTTGCGGCCAACAGTTAGCAAAGAGCAGACATCATGCAGTGAAAGTTTCCTTAAACTATTGTGTTCTGTCTTTGAAAACTACTTCTATAATGCGGTAGTTGCAGTTATACTATCAAGCGCATCACCCTGCCCATGTAATAATAATGTAGTGGTAACATTACAGTTTTATCCTCCTGCCCATGTAGTTACAATTTTTAAAAGTATTATCTGCTATGGTACAGCAAATGGAATACATACAACCATTTCAAGCACTGCATTGTCCTCTTACGATGCTACTCATAGGATGAGGAAAGTAAAAAAATTCCATGCATTATACACAGTGGTGAAAACAGACCAGCAGCAGATGTGATGATGTGAGCAAAGTACTTAGTTGGGAAAAAAAGCCTGCTTTGAGCCTTAAACTAATACAATTTCAGCAGATAAGATTTCTAAGCCATTGAAGACTGGTGGTTTATGAATTTTAGCCTCAACTTCCAAGTAGCCACACAAGAGGTCATACCGGTTCAGAGATTGGATTGTCAAGCTACTTGGAAGTTCAAGAGAGGGTTCCATACATTGGGGCTCAGGGATACCTGCCCAGATGGTAGGTTAATATTATCTGCTATGGTACAGTGAATGGAATATATACAACCATGTCAAGCACTCCATTGTCCTCTTACTATGCTACTGACGAAGTATATACACCATTCATATGTCACTAGGCCAAGGGCCACAAATGTTCCAATACTGTTCTAATGTAATGTGCATTAAGAGTAACTTGATCCTTTGCCTTTTTGTTTTTACAGATCATTAAATGCAAAGCAGCCATTGCCTGGGAGATTAAGAAACCCCTGAGCATTGAACAGATAGAAGTAAGCCCCCCAAAGGCTCATGAAGTTCGCATTAAGGTAAACAAGATGGTTAAAGAGATGGATGTTCAACAAAATGCAATTTCTCAGAATTGATTGAGCGAAAAAGATGTTATTCTATTTTAAAACATGATTTCATAATTATTAATACGCATATTTTTTGCAGATTTTGGCCACAGGGATATGTCGCTCAGATGACCATGTGATCAGTGGTGCTTTTGCTATGCCTTTACCAATGGTTCTGGGCCATGAAGCAGCTGGCGTTGTGGAGAGCGTTGGAGAGGGAGTCACCTGTGTAAAACCAGGTATGAGAAAATATTGGGTAGTTGAGCTTTTCAAGACACACAAGAGTTTCTTTGCGTGTGGCCTATGACAATTGGCTTCCCAGGAGATTTGTTTGTGGCTATATGAACAGAACATCACGCATGACTATGCAAACATGAGTGACAGATCAAGGTTACTCCTTTTACTCTCCCCAAACAGACCATGTCATTAATTATTTTTGAAGTAGTGAAAGTTCTAGTCTGCTGAGTCATTTGATCATGAAGGTGACCCTGAGGCTATGCAAATAGTCTAAATAGACACTAGTTTAACTGCCATGGGAGAATGCTGTTGAATCCCAGAAACTGTAGTTTTGTGGTCAAGCTGCACTCTTGGGCACAGAAGGCTAAAACCCTTGTAAAACTACAACTCCCAGGATTACATAGCATTGATCCCTGGCAATTAAAGGGGTGTCAATCTTCATTAATTTTGCAGTGTAGGTGCACTCTTAGGCGAAACATATGCAGAGGTGGTTTTGCCATTTACTTCCTTTGAAATACAGCTTCTAGCTCCTGGATCTCATTGGTAGTCTCTTAGCAAAATAGTGTGTTTATGCTAGATAAGAGAAAGTTGAGAGACAACATGATAGCAGTGTTTAAACATTTAAAAGAAGATCATATTAGAGATGGGGCAAGCTAGTTTTCTCTTGCTCCAGTGACAAAGACATAGAACAATGAATTCAAACTACTGAAAAAGGGATTCCACCCAAACATTAGGGAGAATTTCCTGATGTTAAGAGCTGATCAACAGTTGAACATGCTTTTTCAGAGTCTAGTTGAACTTCCTTCTCTGGAGGTATTTAAACCAAAGCTGGATGGCCGTCCGGTTGCTGGACCCGATTCAAACTTCCGCACTGGGAGAGTTCCCATACAACCTAGACCAGCCTGAGGCAGAGCAGCAGTACAACTGGATTTGCTACACACACTCCTCCAACAATGAGTGTGTCTGTTAGCCCAGTCAAGATGGACACCAATGTCCATTGATATTATGTATCCTGATACACTTTTGTACACTCTTAGGTATCCATGCTAAGATATAGTTAACCTTTTGGGTACAATAGGGTTGAGAATCCAGAACTAAATGCAATGCAACACCGTTTCATGCCATTTTAAAGAGCTTCTTGCATGTGTGCTTTCACTTACACCTTGGGTTGGGGGAGTTATAACTATTTATTTTTCTTCCTAGGAGACAAAGTAATCCCACTCTTTGTTCCACAGTGTGGAAAATGCAGCTCTTGCAAAAGTACCAAAGGCAACCTCTGTACTGTAAATGAGTAAGCTTCATTATTATTTTATTGTGAGGCACAGCTGTCATAGTTCCTCATTTCATGACTCAAATGTAAGGAAAGAAGACATTTTGTTGTAGCATGTGTTCAGTCCCTATCTACAGGCAGTCCCCAAGGTACAAACAAGATAGGGTCTGTAGGTTTGTTCTTAAGTTGAATTTGTTTATAAGTAGGAACAGATACATATTTTCAGTGTAACTCTAGCACACTCTCTCTCTCTCTCTCTCTATATATATATATATATACACACACATACATACATACATACATACATACATACACTGATATAGATATGTGTGTGTGTTGTTTGAATAGCATAGGGAAGGGTTAACACCCCTGTAGTGTTTGTTTTCCTGTCTGTGCCCCTGATCAGAAGATTTCACCACACATTCTGTACCTGTGATAATTGGATTTTGTAAAATTTAGCTGGTTGTGGATAAAAGGATTGGTGCTAAAGCTTCAGTGGAAATACCTTTTCCCATGATAATTCTTTCAGTAGAGAATTTCCCTTCCTAGGGGTAGATTTCTCTCACTTTCTGCTTTCTCACCCCGTTCTTAATTATGAGTTGTTCCCCACACTAGGTCTAGCATTCTCTCCATGGCTCTCCACCTTTGGCCATTTGATGTTGGACTTCCAGAAGTCCAGCTAATATAGGTAATGGCAAGAGATGAAGTCCAAAACATCTGTAGAGACCCATGGGTTACTAACCACTGTAGTACATTATGTTCTAGGTCAGACTGCTTGCCAAGCTTGAAAATGATCCTTTGGGGTAAAAGTAGTGTTGTGTTCCCAGTGTTGTAGTCCCCAAAAGAATCACTAACACTCAGAATCAGAGGTGGTGAAAAGGGTAGCTGACTTTTCCCTTCCCTAAGTAAAATACCTCCTCTGAAGCTAGTATTTGCATTGGTAGAAAATTTCCCTTTCAAAACAGAGGGAACCTCAAGATGATAGCAAGAATCTATGGGTGATGGGTCAAAAACATCCCATATTTTTGGCCCATCCTATCCCACAGCTGATCCTATTTGCATTTTTAATGTACTCAATGTAATGTAATGTAAATAGAATCAGCAAAGATGTTTTATTTTTGCTCCATCAGATTTAGCAAGAGCTCAGTCTATACAATCTCATTTCCCCCTCTCCATGTCTCTCTTTTCAACAGCCTCAGTAGTGGCCAGGGCTTAATGCCAGATGGTACTAGCAGGTTCACTTGCAAAGGAAAGAGTCTTTACCATTTCATCAGCACCAGTACCTTCACTGAATACACTGTGGTGCATGAAACTGCAGTGGTCAAGATTGATGATGCTGCTCCTTTGGAAAAAGTATGTCTGATTGGCTGTGGGTTTTCTACTGGTTATGGAGCAGCTGTTAAAACAGCACAGGTGAGTTCTAGAATATGCATTTCAAGGCTGTAACTGCTACTTAGGTTTAATGATGATTTATGGTGATCAGTTGAAGGTCCTGCTTTACTATGTCTCACCATCCAGAGTGGTTAGGTTAATGAGTACAGTATGACCCCACATCTGCAAGACTAGTATCTATGGTTTCATTTATCCATGTCCAAAAAATATGTCCTCCAGCATGCCTCTATTCTATTCTTGAGTTGCAAACTCTTCATTACAATTGAATTCACTTTTATTTCCAGTTTCTCATGCTCATGCAAATTCAATAAAGTATTCCCTGCAGGTACTATATAACCTTTCTTTCTGAAGCAAATTACACTTGGGAGAACTAAACAGCACTAAACAAACAAGAATACTGTTATAGCATGTATATGTAAATACAGAAATAAATAACCAAAGACAAGTCTAATACTGTTTAATTGCATATTTCAACTTATGCCCTCCAACTAATGCAGGCGTGGGCAAACTTTCTAACTTGGGGGCCGCATGGAGGGAGGGAGTTCTCTCCAACTCCTTTCTTCCCCTTTCTGTTCTCTTTGGGATGCAGAAAGTGAAGGAAAGATGGAAAACGTTTGGAACCCAAAAGGATTGGCCTTGATCAGGATGATATGTTGGACAGGAGAGAAAAAGTGTATCCAATAAACCCCATATTTCCTACTCCTGATATATAATCCTAGAATCCTAGAGCTGAAAGAGACCTCCAAGCGCCATCCAGTCCAACCCCTTGCCATGCAGGAAGGCACAACAAAAGCACTCCCAATAGACAGCCTCTGTGAAAAAGCCTCCAGAGAAGGAGACTCCCAGGCAGCCTATGCCACTCTCCAGGAAGTCCTTCCAATTTTTTTCAGTTGAATCTCTTTCCCTGCCATTTGTAACCATTGTTCTCTTGTACCCTGGTCTCTAGAGCAGCAGAAATCCAGTCCCCCTCTCCTCCTCCTCAATGGGGCACCATTTTAAATCTTGAAACATAGTTCTCATGTCCCCTCTCTATCTTCTCTTCTCCCAGCTAAACATCCCCCAGGAGGAAAGGAGGAAGGAAAAAGAGATGGGAGGGAGAGAGGAAGAGAAGGAAGGAATGAAGGAAGGATGGAAGGGAATGGAGGGAGGGAAGAAAGAAAGAAGGAAAGAAAAAACAGAAAAATGGAAGGAAGGAAAAAAGGAAGGCGAAAGAGAAAGGGGAAGGAGGGAGAGAGAAAGAGTGAGGTAAGGAAGGAAAGGAGAGAAGGAGGAAGGAAAGAAAGGAAGGAAGGAAAGACAAAAGAGGGAAGGAAGGAAGGGTGGAAAGGAAGGAAGGAAGGAAGGAAGGAAGGAAGGAAGGAAGGAAGAGGAAGGAGGGAGGGAGGGAGGGAAGGAAAGAGGGGAAGGAAGGAAGGAAGGAAGGAAGGAAGGAAGGAAGGAAGGAGAAAGAGGGCAAGAAGGAAGGGCAAAAGGGTGGAAGGGAAGGAAGAAGGGAGGGGAGGGGGGAGAAGGAAGGAAACAGAGGAGGAAAGGAAGGATAGGATGGTGAGAGAGAGGAAGGCCTGAGAAAAGAGCCCAAGGAGCCACATCTGGCCTCTGGGCCTGGGTTTGTCCATACCTGAACGAATACCTCTCATATCAGAAATTCCAAATTGGAAATGATACAGTTGGCCCTCCATATCCATCGAGTCTGCATCAATGGATTCCACCATTCACAGATGGCAGGGTCCTGGATTAAATGCCAGCAGATACCAACAGCCCATTGTACAGGGCAATATCAGAAAAGTATATGAATGAGTAAAGACAACTGAAAACAATATTTCCACCAGTTGCAGAAATTAGCTAATTGAATATCTTTAAAAACAACAACAACAATCCTATACCAGTTAAATGCCTGCTGTCCACAAATTAAGTGGCTGTCCCACATTACTTTTTCTGACCTGAAGTGTACTGGGAACACTGAATGGCATATCATGTTTTGATCTTATATTTTAGGTGGAGCCTGGGTCTACCTGTGCTGTTTTTGGCTTGGGGGGAGTTGGTCTCTCAGCAGTGATGGGTTGCAAAGCAGCTGGAGCCTCTCGAATCATTGGAGTTGACATCAACAAGGACAAATTTCCTAAAGCGAAAGAATTGGGAGCCACCGAGTGTGTCAACCCCCTGGATTTCAAGAAGCCCATCAACAAAGTGCTGTTTGATTTGACAGACGGAGAAGGCGTAGACTATTCATTTGAAGTGATTGGCCGTACAGATACCATGGTATGTCCCTTTGAGAATTGCTATACCAAAAAGTTCAGATAAGACAGGGCAAAATTAAGAATAAGCCAAAGAAAGTTAGGATCCGTAATTCATTCTGATTGGAGATTAAATGTCATTGATTAGTGTCCTATAATGCAGCACAATGATAGTGTTTTGATTCCATTTTAACAGCCTATGAGATTCAGTGTTTGCAGACTGGTGAGGTTCTAAGACTGTCTGATAATTGTACATACGTATTCCTTAATAAGTTTTGAAGGCCATTTTAGTGTATTTACTGTATTTTAATTCTGTTTTTACCAGACTGTTACTGTTTAATAGTTTTTAAAACTTTTGAATTGCTCTTTTAAAACTTATTTAGTGTGTATTGTTAGTTGCCTTGAGTCCCCATGGGGAGAAGGTTGGGGTATAAATAAAGATTCATCATCATCATCTCCACAAAATGTTGCCATGGTTGTTGTTGTTCATTCGTTCAGTCGTCTCCGACTCTTCGTGACCTCATGGACCAGCCTACGCCAGAGCTCCCTGTCGGCCGCTACCACCCCCAGCTCCCTCAAGGTCAGTCCAGTCACTTCAAGGATGCCATCCATCCATCTTGCCCTTGGTCGGCCCCTCTTCCTTTTGCCTTCCACTTTCCCCAGCATAATTGTCTTCTCTAGGCTTTCCTGTCTCCTCATGATGTGGCCAAAGTACTTCAACTTTGTCTCTAGTATCTTTCCCTCCAGTGAGCAGTCGGGCTTTATTTCCTGGAGGATGGACTGGTTGGATCTTCTCGCAGTCCAAGGCACTCTCAGCATGGTAGTTAAAGCAAAATTATAGTGCTATAATTGCATTGTGTACAGTTGTGTGCTGTGATCTCCAATTGCCTTCAACAGTGGTTTTAGACTACATATCCCATTCTTACCAGGAAGCATGGTTGTGGTGCTTGGTATACTTGATGTACTATACTTCAATACTTTCATCTAAACTTTCTGGGTTACCCTTTTTTCTTGTCTCTCCTAGAAAAGTCCAGGACTGGCAATTCCATGTTTAAATGGATTACAGGCTTGTCCATATGTCGTTAACAATGCATCAATTTGGAGCCAAACTTCCAACCATTTTCATGTTTTTGGGGAGTGAAGAGAGTTTCAGAGCAGGAAAATTCACATCTACATCTTCACCCCCAGCTCCTAACCCTTAGATTATACCCGTTGTACTAAGGGATTTACATAAGTGTGGACTAATCAATTAAATGAGTTTATATTAGTTGAGAATATTAATAGGCTCCAGGCTTTGGATCATTAAATGTTAGGTTAAATCTTCAGTGTGAAATGCTGTCTCTCAGCCTAATTTAGCTTCATTGGGATTAACTAGAAATACACAACAGGTTGGCTCAGAGACTGAAGCTAAATCCACACCTATGGAATAATAAGTCCTTACCTTGACCTTATTGAAGCCCCCGGTGGCGCAGTGGGTTAAACTGCTGAGCGGTTGAACTTGCTGATCGAAAGGTTAGTGGTTCGAATCCAGAGAGCAGGGTGAGCTCTCGCTGTTAGCTTCGGCTTTGCCAATCTAGCAGTTTGCAAATGTGAGTAGATAAATAGGAACCGCTCCTGTGGGAAGGTAACAACACTCCATGCAGTCATGCTGACCATATGAACTTGGAGGCGTCTATGGAAAACGCCGGTTCTTTGGCTTAGAAATGGAGATGAGCACACACACGCGCACACACCCCAGAATTGGGTACGACTAGACCTAATGTCAAGGGGAAATCTTTACCTTGACCTTGATCTTAGTCATTTTTGAACATATGGTGATCCTCTCGTTTCAAAATGAAAGCACTTAAGACTCCTGGGGACTTTAATGCAATTTTTAAAAGAAACATTTTACTCTGCTGTTTCTTGGGAAACCCATTTTTCAACCAACATCACATGTTAGCAACAAGATCTAGAAGTTGGCTAGTGCGGTGAGAACAGCTATGGAGTGGACAGGTTGGGTAAGGGATCATGGTTGTTGCATGGAAAGGCAAAATGTAAGCATTGTCAATGAAAGGTATGAAGCAAAAAAAAAGAGAATAATAGCTGTATTTTCTTCTCTCAGACTGCGGCTCTGGCTTCTTGCCACAACAACTATGGAACCAGTGTGATTGTGGGGGTGCCTCCTTCAGCAGCTCAGATCGCTTTTGATCCAATGTTGCTTTTCACAGGACGTACCTGGAAAGGATCGGTCTTTGGAGGTACAGTTGCAGATGTAATACCCTCAATATAAAATATCTTATATGCCTTTTAAAAAGTAGACTATTCCTCTGCTTTGAAATAAGCATAAATCAGGAGGGGGTATTTTCTATGTACCTTGTGGCACAGCGGTTTAAACCATTGAGCTGCTGAACTTGCTGACCAAAAGGGTGGCGGTTTGAATCCAGGGAACAGAGTGAGCTCCCACTGTTAGGCCCAGCTTCTGCCAACCGAGCAGTTCAAAAACATGCAAATGTGGATAGAGCAATAGGCACCACTCAGTTGGGAAGATAACGGTGCTCCATGCAGTCACAGGACCTTGAAGGTGTCTATGAGCAATGCCAGTTATTCGGCTTAGAAATGGAGATGAACACCACCCCACAGACTCGGACACGACTAGACTTAATGTCAGGGGAAACCTTTACCTATGTATAGGAATATTGAGAGCCAGTGTAATGTAGTGGTTTGAGAGCTATTAATGCCTGGCATAACCAAAGAGGAATATAAAGGCACCAGTCCCTTGTGTTCTGTAAAAACTGATGTGGCTTCACAAGATCACTGTGTGGCTTAGAATAGATTCACATCATAATTGCACAAATTTGACTGCTCTTGTTTCTTTCCGTGATGTTTTCTGACCCCTTTTTGTTGGTTTTCAGGATGGAAGAGCAAGGACTCTGTCCCTAAACTCGTTTCTGATTTCATGGGGAAGAAATTCATTTTGGATCCACTAATAACACATACAATGCCTTTTGAGAAAATTAATGAAGGATTTGAACTTCTCCGGTCAGGAAAGAGGTAATAATTCATCTCCTGTTTGACACACTGGCTTCACTCTGTCTAGTGAAAGAAGGATGTTTCCTATGTGCAACTTCCTGCCTTCAGTGCTGGTTGATGGCAATATAACACATACACACTTTTACTTCCATGTCATGGAGCAGTAAATCTGCTCCAGGTTTTAGTCTGAACGTTGAAGAAACTATCCAACATACTAAATAGGGCTAGCACTTTGAATAGCCCCCGTAAAGTTCAGATTATTTATTTATTTATTTATTTCGGACATTTATATCCCACCCTATCTCGACCTCCGCAGAGGGACTCAGGGTGGCTGACAACAACAGCATAAATATACGTCTTAGGTGAAAACAGTATTAAACATTATAAAAACATCATAAAAACAGTAAAACGTTAGAACAATCACCAGAATTAAATCGTTGTCCTACACACAGTCCATTCAAATCCACCAGAGTCCATTCAACCATAGATCTACTATCATGTCGGTCTAGTCCGCAAAGGCCTGATCCCACAGCCAGGATTACACCTTTTTCCGAAAGGTCGGAAGGGAAGGAGTGGATTTGATTTCACTTGGGAGGGAATTCCATAGCCAAAGGGCCACCACAGAGAAGGCCCTGTCTCTTGTCCCCACCAATCATGATTATGATGGTGGGGGGCAGTTAGCAGGGCCTCCCCGGACAATCTTAAGGTCCTAGGTGATTCATAGTGGGAGACACATTCAGACAGGTAAACCGGGCCAGAGCCATTAAGGGCTTTATAGGCCAACGCCAGCACTTTGAATTGTGCTCGGAAGCTAATAGGCAGCCAGTGGTGCTGGCGTAGCAAGGGCATTGTGCGTCTCAATATCTTGCTCCTGTGAGCAACCTGGCTGTTGATCGTTGGATTAGCTGAAGCTTTCGAGCAGTCTAAACCTTGATGAATCCATCTGATATGGAAGCCACCAGCCACAGCTGTACACATAGACTATACATGTGGAAGTGACTGCCTAAATGAACTCCAAATGCTGCTCCTCACATTCTAAGAAGGTTGTATGAGACCAGACTGTCATATATGCACCAGAGACTTGTCCATTTTTCTCTTCAGATGATCAGAATTAACCTGATCCTGAAAAACTGATTCCCAGGATGTGGTTAGACTACAGTTCCCAGAATTCACATGGTGTTTTTGAAACCTTTGGTCATCCAGGTAGTTTGGACTCCAACTCCCTGAAGCCCCAGCCAGCTTCCCCAACTTTCAGGAATTCTGGGAGCTGAAGTCTAAAACACCTGGATGATCAAAGGTTGGGCACCATTGATCTAGTATGATCAAGTATCATATTCTTAATCCAGTTTAAGAATGAGAAACAAATAAAATGGTTAGCGTGTCTTCAAAGTAGTGTCTAGTTTGGACATAGTTTGGTCTTCCCTTTCCTAAAAACAGGTTAGAGAAAGACAAGACAGAGAGCCTGAGATGATATCGCTTCTATTTGAAGGCCTAGAACAGTGCTTCTCAAACTCACGGAACAAATATTTTTGTGTTTCAGCATCCGCACTGTCTTGACCTTTTAAGATCTTGGTGTAAGAAGAAGGCCAGCACAGAATCACAGTTCCTTTTCTACAATGTTGAAATCAACAGTGTGCACTGTTTTTCTTTCTTTCTCTTGCTCTATGCTCACATCTTCTTAATGGACTGAACGGATGCTGGAAACTCTTGAAGATATTTATTTTAGAAAGAATATCACCATTATGGTTTAAATATATAAACATATATGGTTTAAAATATATACGGTACTTGCCAAATTAGTTGCCGAGATAATGGCAGAAAGCCAACTCCAGCCACATAAATTATATCTTTTTGGCAAATATATTTTTCACATAATGATCTCTTTCTCTTTCCAATTAAAAAAAAACACAATTCTCCCATGTTAAGAGACATGGTGTGATCGTGATTTTCTTTTTGGCTTGATCAATTGTTTCCAATCAAGAGATGATGTACTATATTGGACTGAAATGCTTAACTTCATGTGTTTGGCCTTTGAGTTAATATTAAATATAAACTTTTGTCTTGATTAATATGTTGATTTGTCTGCTTATAGGTGGAATATTGATGCAGACATAGCACCTACTCAGTTGTTTCTTCTAAGATTCAAAAGATGAGCATAATTTGTCAATACAAGTGGATTTTCTTTTTGTGTCAGGAGCGACTTGAGAAACTACAAGTTGCTTCTGGTGTGAGACAATTGGCTGTCTGCAAGGACAATGCCCAGGGGATGCCTGAATGTTTTACCATCCTGTAGAAGGCTTCTCTCATGTTCCCACATGAGAAACTTGAGCTGACAGATGGGAGCTCACCTCGCTCTCCAGATTTAAACCGCTGACCTTTTGGTTAGCAGTCCTGCCAGCACAAGGGTTTAACTCATTGTGATACAAGTGGATGAACAATTGTTCCAGCATTCATACAAACATGGACTACTTTACCAGCCCTGCAGATCATAGCTTCAAGTAAACATCTGGATCAGATCGAACATTAACATTCATCGTTTTTTAAAGCATGTTAGACAGTTCAGGGCTGTACATTTTCTGCATTCATTTTTCTATGAGTCCCATAGCACTCGTGTGCATTGCTTAGTTGGTCCCAAGTAAGTAGCCATTATGATACCTAGGAGCTTATTCCATTTGGGGGGAGATTCAGGTAAGAGTAGGGGGGGGGGACTGTCTTCTTATCGTAGCATTCTTTATCTTTCTATATTGTTTGAAAACAGAGAATTTAGTTTACCACATCACACATTATAGAGTCCAGCCATCTCAACAGCAATCACCTGCTTCATTTGCCATGGCACATGGCAGGGTAGTCTCCACCCATATCACTTTCTCTTTCTTTCTTTCTTTCTTTCTTTCTTTCTTTTAAAAAAATGTTGTTGTAACAGAAGTGCTAAATCTTGCAATTTCAGAAAATACTTTACATTACAAAATTATGAAAATTCATCATATAGAAATTTTTTTTGGAAAAAAATACCATTTAAGGGTCTGTCCTTATGGAGTAATGTCTGCAAGAGTAGAATTGAGGGAAACGTAAGACCGCCCACTTGAATGCCCACAAGTAAATGTCATAAAATGCTAATGACATGGAATAATGCAAGAACTGCCATCACACATTAAACTTTTGTCTTGTCATGCTTCTAAAGTACATAGACAACTGGAATCGATAGCTACCTGCCTCCAAAAATGCCTAATTTCCAAACGCTTTAAAAACAGAGTACAATTATCAACCTCCAGAAAAAGTCTTGCGTTGTCTGATGCCATTCTTTGGACTCCGATTTTAAAGTTTGTAGAAACAGAGGGAAGTCTGCATGTGAGTTGGGGCTTCCTTGCCCAGCTGGGAGGAGATCCCCAGCTATGTCACCGGTGTCTCTACCAATCAGGGCAAGTGCTGGCTTGGATCCGCCTCCCAGCCAATCAGAGGCTGAAGAGGATTCCAGCTGGCTTTGCTGAGCTGGCCAATCAGGAAAGAGAGAGGGAATTTTTGAAATTGGACAATGTCAGTGAATGGAAACTTATGTATATATATATATGTCTGCTTATGAATACACTTTTACACTTGTATCCTTCAATTATCCATGCTGTACAAGTGTCCCTTTTGCTCAAATTGAATAAAGCCTCTGTTGTTTCACTTCATCCTGGTGAGATTCTTGGTTCCTGATTCGCTATTCGTGGTTACCAAGCTTGCGAGGCATCCCTTGGGACTTAGAAAACTACAAATTTCATCATCAATCCCAATTATTGTCAGAACCGACCTGCAAAGAAAATATTTATAGGTAACACAATTCAAATAGTATTGTTGGAGGTTTTAATGGCTGGAATCACAGGGTTGTTGTAGGTTATTAGGGCTATATGGCCATGTTCTAGAAGCATTCTCTCCTGACGTTTCTCTCAGGATGCTTGCATCTATGGCAAGCATCCTGAGAGGTTGTGAGGTTGTGAGGCGAAATGTCAGGAGAGAATGCTTCTAGAACATGGCCATATAGCCCAAAAAACCTACAATAACCCAATAATTCAAATAACTCACATGCCATTACCCCATTGGTCAAGATGTACGATATACTATTCATGATATTTTCCCTATCTGATCAACTAATCAAAACATCTTAGGCACCCCTCTCTGTCTTGACTTTCCCATGAGAAAAACCTTTGCTCCCATAACAAGGCCCACAACTCAGCCTAAACAAGATAGTCTTGCATTCTTAACTAATGAGGTTTGGCTGTACCAAGCAACAATTTTCTACAAAGCAGCACTACAAAGGAAGCATTAAAGCATGTATTAGATAATATATGAGCACAATATAGTGAAATACAAACCTAACTGGATAGAGTTGATACATTATTGTGATACGTATAGTATAGATGCAGTCTGTTATACAAAGCACTGTGGTCATGCATAACAAAGGTATTAGTCCTAAAGGGACATGGCAGGACTTAAGAATATGATCCTGACATTCTATCATGCTCATATTTTTCTTATGAAGTTTCTAAGATAAGTAATATAGGGCTGAGCAACTGCTAGAAGCTGGAGAGCTGCATTGACCCTCCATAGCAGTGGTTCTCAACCTGTGGGTCCCCAGGTGTTTTGGCCTACAACTCCCAGAAATCCCAGCTAGTTTACCAGCTGTTAGGATGTCTGGGAGTTGAAGGCCAAAAACATCTGGGGACCCCAGGTTGAGATCCACTGCTCCATAGGATCATAGGATGCCATATCTCCCCACCCCTGCCACAAACACAGATTCACCCCCATGCCTCTTTAAGCAGTGAGGGACAATATCATGACCCTTTTTTGCAGCTTTATTAGGCTCAGGAGAGAGCTTGTTTAGAAGCAGAAAGTCAATCAGAAGCTAACCAGACAGGGCTGATCCGGGAGAGTTTTCTCTTGTATCCTAATGCTATGCAGTCACACCCAAGTGTACACGCAGCTGTTCAAAGTCACGCTCTAGACACTTAATCTCAAACACTGTGAACTACCATGAAGGGCTATAAGAAAAGAAATACAAAAGGTGTTTGTCAAAAGTTTTGGTGGGAATATATAAAGCAAAACATTAATGTAGCCACTAATGATGACTCTGCAAAACTAGATGCAGTGACTTGTCATGAAAAGAGCATTGGATTTGTATAAGAAGGATTGTGTTCATACTTCCACTCACCCATGAAGGACCTCTGCTTAATCATGCTACTATAACATAAGTAATGCTGTGATTTGGGCAAAGAAAGAAGACACCCACTCCCACATAAAGATTATCGTGACATGACTAAGCAGATTGCCTTTATTTTCAAGAGAAAAACAACAACAAATGGGGGCCTTTCCAGACAGGGCTTTATGCCAGGAGCATCCATGTTTTAAAAACGCGAATGTTGCTAAGACCCTTTCCACACACACCCCAGATAGCACATGTTTTCTGGGATGGGTGTCCAGATGTTGTGCTAGTACAACACCGAGACACTTAACCTTCTCCCCAGAAGCCCCCCTGAACACATTAAAAAAGGAAAATAACTCACCTGGACTCCATAAGTTGGCTGACATGTACAAATGATGTACCAGGAGAAAGGAAGAGGGAAGGACTCCGACAGCTGTCTTACTGCGCCTGAGCGAGTTCTTTTCTATCTTTTACTGTGTTTAGGGGGACTTCTGGGGAGGGGGGGGGTTCATATTTCTACAATTTTCTAGGCTAATTTAGCCTGGAAAACTGTGGGGATGCTGTCAAGTATTCTGCAGTCCAGACACCGGAAGTAGTGGGTTTATCCCGCGCCTTCCAAGAAGGCGTGGAATAAGCCCACGATCAAATTAATTTGCCACAAACCAGGATTTTCCTGGTTTGCAGCAAATTAATTCCTTTTTGCTCAGAGCATTGTTTGGACAGCCCCCTTTTTATTGCAAAAATTTCTGCAATAAAGGGGCTGTCTAGATCCACCCTATATTTCTCCAAGTGAAATGCTCTTCATCCAGACCGGGAGACCAAAAGTAGCTTGTTGTTTTTTTGAATCATATTCTATTTTTCCTGAAATGAAAGATATTAACCTTTGCCCAAGGTTAAATGTGTTCCTTGATTTCTACACTAAGACAGAATGAAATAAGGGGGCAAAAACAAACCTTGTTATGTTGGTGCAGAGGGTTAAATCGCTGAGCTGCTGAACTTGCTGACTGAAAGGTTGGCAGTTTGAATCTGGGGAGAGGGGTGAGCTCCCACTGTTAGCCCCAGCTTCTGCAAATTTAGGAGTTCAAAAACATGCAAATGTCAGTAGATCAATAGGCACTGCTCTGGTGGGAAGGTAATGGTGCTCCATGCAGTCATGTCGGTCTCATGACCTTGGATGCGTGTACGGACGACACCGGCTCTTCAGCTTAGAAATGGAGATGAGCACCCCTTCCAGTGTCAGACACAACTAGACTTAACGACAAGGGGAAACCTTTACCTTTATAATAATAATAAATTTCATTATAAACTTATCTCCCTGGGCGGACTTTCCATAAAATAATAAATATTTTAAGTAAAACAATCTTAACTAATATTGAAAACTTAAAAGCTGGTTACTCTGTAAATTGGTGCCTAACCTATTGAATGG